GTCCCCCGCCGTGATCCAGCATGGGCCGGGGAATGTTGTTTGAATGATTCTTTAAGGTAAGCAGGCATTACCGTTTGGTTCGGATCTTTTGTTTCATCTCATCCAAGACGCCTTTCAGCGGAGACAGCCTTCCATAGCGGGGCAGCAATGTCTCAAAAGGGTTGGCAAGTATCAACACGTGCAGCACGTGGGCCGACATTGTCCTGCTTCATCGTGACGTAACTTCACCGCATTGGTATTTGCAGAAGGTTTTTCTGAGACACCTGACTCTTGTTAAAATGAATCCTCTAATGGAACTAGTGTATGCCGCATCATTTCATTGGAAAATAATGCATGGTGTTCCATGATCCCCCATCGCAAATTTCACATGGATGAAACCGTAGCGACGAGACATTTCCTAATGGACGGGATAGGCTGTCGGAACATTCTAACTGGAAGCCAACGAGTAGTCGCACAAAGTTAGAGCAAGGTCTAGGGTTAATTCAGCGCTCGACGCATCCATCGTTCCAACTCAACCCAAATCGGGTTTCCATTACATCAACATCGGCGCGTCAAACACGCAGTTTGGGTGTAGCGTTGTAATACTGACATGTCAGTCCTGGAACATATAGCTGTATGAATGGCAGATGGACTGGGGTCAAAACTTGGTCAAGATACAGTATAGCGGTAAGATTACCCTGGACGACAATCAGATGATATCGACCGTTCGCATAAAACCATTATGTTGCCCCCTACAAATCGGTCAACGTCACCGTTACGTTCCCTCCTCCTGTGCCACCGACAAGGCGCAATGCCAAGCGTGATTCGTCACTAAAGACAATCCTGTTCACCTGGTTGAATCTGGCATATATGCGACACATCGTAAACGTTGAGCACGTTTGATCGTCCATCTCGGATACCTGTGGGGCAAAGTCGATTCTTTATGGTCTTTACTGACACTCCACTTCTGAACAACTGTTTGCTAGTGGAGGTTGCAGTCACAAACCTGTTACAGACAAATCTGTTGTCCATCATTAAGCCCACCCGTGGCACGCTCACTTCGCTTATTTGGGAGTTGCGGCATACTCACTTTTTGATTAAGCTTGCATTTGTTATGTGTTTAAGCATTTAGCAATGTATCTGCGCATGCAGAATCGCTGCACGCGATTGTTGTGTTTCACGCGTTATGACCAGCACTTTCACGTTCAAACAGCCTACACTCCGCGATGTGTGGACCTGGGCTTGCAGGTTTAGTTCGACTGTGTATTTGTTTAAGGGGCGGTGTGTACCTAGGCCTGTGTATTTGTTTAAGGGGCGGTGTGTACCTAGGCCTACAGGTGTAATTAGAATGTGTATGTGTGTAAGGGCGGTGTGTACCTACAAGTTTAATATCACAGGTGTAATTAGGCCTACCTGTGTAATTAGAATGTATGTGTAAGGGGCGGTGTGTACCTAGGCCTACAGGTGTAATTAGAATGTGTATGTGTAAGGGGCGGTGTGTACCTAGGCCTACAGGTGTAATTAGAACAGGTGTAAGGGCGGTGTACAGGTGTAATTAGAATGTGTATGTGTAAGGGGCGGTGTGTACCTAGGCCTACAGGTGTAATTAGAATGTGTATGTGTAAGGGGCGGTGTGTACCTAGGCCTACAGGTGTAATTAGAATGTGTATGTGTAAGGGGCGGTGTGTACCTAGGCCTACAGGTGTAATTAGAATGTGTATGTGTAAGGGGCGGTGTGTACCTAGGCCTACAGGCTTTGCGATGTGTGCAGGGCAAGATGGACTGCGTGGAAGTGTGTGGGGTTGGGGTCTGGGTGGGGTGTACCGTGTACGCAAGCCTAAAGGTTATGATAAGGGGAGACATGAACGCAGTGTACCAAATCCGCCTGCATTGTCTTATTTAATTTGTGACATTGTTGTTCTGTCGTCATGGTCTTATATATCAATATCCACCTATTACACTTTACATTGAAACTTTCCATTGTTACTTTCAAATTTACATAGGGAGTATGGTTTTACGCCGCTTTTAACAATGTTTTCAAGCAATATCACCAATATGTGGTGGGCACACCAGAAATGCAAATTTAGATAGAATTTCATAAATGCAGGCTGTGACTACTTATCCTCCCAGGACCGATACTTAGTGGAGTCTATTATCCGTATGGAATGGCCAGTCCTTTCACTCGGTCGACCTCAAATCACATGAATCACAAACGTGCTGCCGAAAGTTGGTATTTGGTTAAAAAACCTTCGTTATTTATTTTTAATGTTTGATTTGACCAAATACTCTTTTGGAAAGGTGATCGGACTGATTATTGGTCACTTGTCACGTGCCACACAATGTCCACAACTACACGTGAACAATGAGAAAGCTAATAAATTCACAAAGCTGCATTAAAATTTTGATGAATCCGAACAGAATAAGACGATATTAACTTTTACTGCTGAATTTTGTTACTAAGTTACACCTATCTCGAAACAATCATCAGGTTCTTTTAACCAGACTTTGTCTTGGGCATTGTCGTCTTGGTGCATGTCTCAGTATTATTAACAAAGATATTTCTGCGAATCGTACAGTGTGCAGTCAGCTAGATCAACGCATTGCAATGGTGGAATCTCTTACAGCTCTCAATATTGGCTGTACTATTATGGTCAAGGAAATTCAGAATATAATTCTCGCTTATATTAAAAGTCACCTTAGCTACTTCATGAAATTTAAGAAACTTGACAAACTTTGATTGGCAAGATGTAAATGGGCCTAGTTGCCCGAACATCTATTAAACTTTTAATGGTGTGTCAATAAATCAATCACGAACTGATCCATTAACACTCACTAGCTATTAATCTTACATGGTTCTCGAAAATTAACAGTAGTTGGGATCATTTAGTCTTGGTTTCAAGCTGAAGGTGTATTCAAACGGGATGATTGCGACGTGTTTACTTAACGATGAGCAGCCACTCCAACATAAGCTGAAGTGAAATTCGGATGTCGGGTGAGATGTGGAAAAGCTATAAAGATGTTGAAATATGCGTTAAAACATCAGTTACCATTATCATTGATCATTCTTAGATTACTACATCACTGCAAAAAGACATACCTTTTTGCTGTGGGCACACTTAAAAACAAAAATGAAGTTGTTGAAGAGACGATCATTTATTGTCCGCTCTCGATATTTAGTTGTTAAGACAATAGTATTCAGCTTCCCAACGGTAACGTCGCTCACATTAAAAATAAAGAAGTTGTATATCCATAGAACTCTCCCCGTTGTTCAGCACACCAGCTTCTAAATGCAACTCAAAGAAGTTATCTTAAGTTGTACTTTTTATCCCATTCTCAGCTGGATCAGATGAGGGAAACATCAAATTCTCATAATAAGGTTGTATCAACAATTAAGACAAACTAGCCCCTTCATCATGGTTGACGGGAAGTGGACCTGGCCATCTACATTTGGACGCAGTTTCGTCGGTCATCTCAGTGAGTTTAGTTTTACGCTGCTTTTAGCAATATTCCAGGCATATCAGGGAGGTTGACACCCATGTGGGGAATCGGACCCGGGTCTTCAGCGAGACGAGCGTTGGTCATCATTGATGCCCAACGGCTTCAAGAGGATCCATGGTCTGAGGTCTTTGAACACCAAGGGTGACAACCTTTAAATCGGGTATTGCATTAATTCTCGAAGGGACCCACTAACAGTAGCTATTGTCTCCTCTGGCTTTTAAGCCAGGCGGAACTCTGGGTCAATTACTGCAGTTACTTCTTGACAGCCACCTTATTTCGGAAATGGGCAACCCTATAATAAACTAGGGCCTTTACATATCATCGCGGCCTCTCTGTAATCTGACCAAATGTTCTAAAGACACGGTGGTGGTGGACTCTACTGGAGTCTCAGGCAGTCCAGACAGACTATACTTTTTGCAGAATGCGTTTCTTAGAAACTGTAGATGCCGGGAATAGTTGACTAAATCTTACTGGCTCTTTCCAGCCTGCCTCGTCCATGTGTGAACAAGCTTGGCAAACGCATCCATGGCAAATGTGGCATACTGTGAGTATATCACCTACTGTTCCGAGTGAATTTATAGACGTACAGCACGCTGTGTGTATTTCAAGTGACCTTGCAAACTAAGTAACAACGCTTCACTGTTTAAAACTCCAGTAACTTCCCAAAATACATTAAGTATCTAGTAACGTTAAACTGAAGCTAGACAACTCCTGAGATGTTGACTCCAGGATACACAGGGAAAGGCATTCTCCAACCTTGCAGATGTACAGAAGCATTGGGCAGTAGAATGCTATTCTCTGCACAATCTACCTGGATAGTTGACAGTGAAGTACTTCTGTTGAAATCTACGATATTTATCACATCAAGAAATGATTTGTGGTGGTGTAGTGAAATATCAGCAGGAATTATTGTATTAGAATTTTTTTTCTATTCGGCCATGTGAAATTTCTCATAACAGGAGCCTTCAAAATGGCACCAGATAAGAGGTGTTCAAGTCTTTAAGCAGTGAGGTGTGGTATGTGTGAAGATCTGATTAGAATGAGGCAGAATGTTGTCTAGGACAAATGTCATCTTCTTGGTTCTGAAGGTTCTCTGCTGAATTAAATGTAACAGCGCATCCTGCCAGCATGTGTTTTCCACCCACATCTGTACCTACCTCTTACAATGCTGCAAGGACCAAACGCGGACCTTGGCATTAAGTTTAAATGCATTGTATTCATAAGTGACGGAATATAAAGGTCTCTCATTTCCTACTTTTTGGTAACTGCCTTGTGGCACTCAATAAGGTGACTTTCACTTTAACAATACTTTTTTTTCAAAATATGACAATAAGTTCCTTATGATGTTGTAGAGCTTCACTCTGTAGTTAACCGATCACCAACAATTGTGAAGACCGTTCACTTCCCCACTCCAAGAAATTGAAAATACACTGACGCATGTACTTCACTATTATCTGCTACAAACACTTTCAACAGTTTAGACTGGTAAGAATCATTTCCCATTGTAAAAGGCAGATAGAAAAGACATGTAGAATATACTTTATTCTATGCAGTTATTAAAAGAGGTTAAAGAAAGACTCTCTGTGGGCTCCAGCCCTATTATGACTACGTTACCTCAACTGTGAGTATGTTGATGGACCACCATGCTACAGTGTCAAAACAAAGTATGATAGCATGGTGTTCACATCTGCTAAATACTGTAAACACATAGATCAGTATTATTAGCGAGGTAAGCACCTACAATTTTAAAAAGAACATTTTGTCATGGATAAATATGTGGGAATAAATAACTGTCCCTTGTCGTCAGGTGCTACAACATTATATCCCCGGGAAGACTGACGATCAACCAACAACACCATCTCATATACACTTGAGCAATTGAGCAACTTTCAAAATTTTAGAAGAAAAAAATAATGTAACAAAACGTGGCAAGAATTGTCCAAATCTGGCAAAATATGACAAAGTTTGGACAAGTTTTCAAAGATAAATCAAATGGTTATAATTCTTACCTTGTGAGTATTTGTTGAGCAACAATAAAGCATAACATGGCAACCAACTTATGAGTGTTTAATATGGGCTACGTTCTACCAAGCACAAGAAAAGCAAGGCCAGACATACAATTCACTCTGTGACTAGACACAGACTCTCTCACACCATGCTCTGAATGCGGCTTTAAGGTTTTGGCCGAAGTCAAGGTAAAAAGTACAAGCCTTATGTGAAGCTATTGGTTGAGAGAGTGAGTGTGCAGGCAACATTGGGGAGTATCAAGACAGTGTGTGAGCAGTGTTAGTCAGAACAGAAAGAAAGGGAATATTTCCATGGCTACAAATATATTTTATTGCATTAAAAGTTATGAATAGGTACAAAATACAGCCATATGGTTATGAAAAGCTGTAGCAACCAATTGGTTAATGATGATGCAAACCAGTACTAAAAACTTAATGCTATTGTGTTGTCATCATCAACAACAAATGGGCGAGTATTCCCCGAGGTTATTAGTATACAACAGAGTAGCAGTAACATAGTAGTAGTGGTTGTGAGATTCCAGTCAACACCAACACAGTGTGCTGGGCCTACAAACAAATGTTAGTTCAGATTATTATGCTGCTTAAAATTTGCACTTGCTCGACGACTCTGTTTATGAGTAGGTTATTAAGAAAATAGGTGATATGTAATGCAGGTTAACTAGAAATTGTTCCTGTGAGTAACAAAAATAGACAACATACAAACATGACTTGTGACCTGTGAGTGGACCAAGAATGACATGCAGTTAAGGCACTTGTTTAGTATAGTGGCAGATGGTCACCGGTGACATGGGTGCACACACAGTCTGCAGCCAGCACAACCAATGACCACACACATCTCAGGTTAAGTACGTGTCAGTTAGAGTATCAAACACAAAAACTTGTCCAACCTTTCTCTCCTCCCTGCACTGATAACATGCTGGAAGAAGCATAAAATATTTCTAGATACAATACAACAAACAAAAAAAAAAAAAAAAAGACAGCTGGTGACTGCCAAGACACTTTTGATTTATACATAAAAAGGAGAAGTCATGAGCAAAGGACGGTTGAGCTAGGCCGAGCCAGGAGCAGCAGATGGATGAAGCACACACACTGCTACTATTTGCAGCCACTCCTCAGTGCTGCCCAGAAAGAGACAGGACATCAAGAACACACATATCAGAAGTTCCCTGAAGGGATACAGAACGTTGGCACCACATACTTACTGTGCAGTAGAACGGCCTACTACACAGCTGACATGTAATACTGTAGTCAGTACGTGGTGCAAGGGCAGTGAGTAGTGGCAGCAGCATGTTCAACAACATCACCCATCCAACACTCCACTCAGCAGAAACAGTTCTCCAGTCTAGGCAGTCACCAAACATATACACTGAGTATGTACAGGTTTGTACGTTCTCTAATATGCTTCATACATTCATAGTGTCCATGGAAGACAATATTATTCGTATTAAACCAAAATATCTCTAAAAGATAATCTCATCTGTAGACAATCGTTGTCTTTAGCAAGAACATTTCAATGGTACATGCATAGCTAAGTAAAAGCTACAAAATATAACATGATTTCTTTGCATACAATTAATGGAGATGAAGTATGATATTTTGGCAGCAATCAATGTTGGCCTTGATAAGTAGATTGTTTCCATTTTGAACAATCAGAAAGCACTTTGATTCATAAGGCAAATGAAATATACAAATGTTGCATAGATATGTGTCATTAGTCTTTCTGATTACTTTGCATCTGGTTTAATTGTATAATGGCGGATGATATGTTTGGACATTTTGATTGAAGGAAATATTGCTAAAATCTGTAGAAAAAATGCAAGAGCAAGTATATGAGTGAATGATATGCAAAGATGCATGAACATGATATGCTTAAGACTTTCTGAGGCACAAGTAATGTAGTTTCATCTCCATCAGGCGAGATCGGTGGGAGTATTTGTATTTCAAAGGTTAAAGCACAAACTCCCCTGAGGATGTCAGCTGGTTAGATCACCAGTTCAACTCAATTAACTTTCACAGTGGTTATCCAAATGATTCAGGAAACAAATAAATGGTAATTATTGACTGAAGTACAAAACTGCATCTGTTTGAGAAATTGTAGAAGTCACTTCTGTCATAGCCAAAAGGCTGTGCGCCTGTGATAGTTTAAGTAGTTGTGAGTTTTATCGCAACATTCTACAGTACGATATCTTAACAACCTAGCATCTGTGCCATGGTGTTATGGCTCTACTGTAATTCCATGGAATACTGAGTTATTGAATATTGGGCAGCAGTTGAAGATATACTGCTGTTAATCTAAATTAACTCATTACTTTATGTCAATTCTGTGGATTCCTCATATATTGCTACCTAGTAAACATTTGACAAAAGTTTCTGCTGAAACATTACTCTTAATACAGACCAGCAAACATCCATAAGTAGAGCATGCCCCTTCTCAAAAATAGAGGTCAACAACATTAAATATGAGATAAGCCAACTAATATCAAGTTCAGCCTGGTTAAAGTGATCAGCACAGAGTCAACTCAGTATTAAGTAACATAAGTAGATAAAAAACAAATTCATTCTACAATTAAGGCAAAAGGGTGGAAGCAGGACTCCGTCTCAGATGCATCAGAGCCAAATGTGCATGATGAGATTGCAGGATTAGCTGTCTGATGCAACTGTCATGCTGTAGCAGTTAATACTGGAGAGATAAGCCATTTTACTGTCATGTCAGACAACTGGTGAGTAGACATGTGCCATGTTCTCCTGAAGAGTAGGAGGGAGCTGTGTATTATGAATCTTGTTGGTGGGACAGTTTTGCAAGGAAGACATCATATATGAATACTGAAGAAAGTGGAAGACAGAGGTGACTCATGATGCTACTGCTACAACATGGCAACGTTGCCTGGACAGGTATCTATTTCCACACTCTTACCTCCACAGTACTGCAGACCACAGTCAGCTAATCAGTAGGTTAAAGTTTATGTACAACAGTTATAACAATTAACAGTTAAACCCAGGCCCAGTGGTCACAAACAGTGGACTAATGTCGTATGAAGAGTCTGGCTGTCAGTCAATCCAAATGTCCACTGGTATCTAATCCAATTCTACAGCCAGGTGAGGTGACGCTAGTTGTGTTGACCCATCACAAATTAGTAACGATCCACAGGTTAGTCATTGCAGATGGCTGAGTAGGACGGCACTTAGCTGTAGGATTGAAGAGTCCCTGCACATCTGGGACCTGTTAGCAATGGTCCACAATTTGAGTATCATCCACCATGAGTAGGTATATAAGTTATGAAGACCTTTCTTGTAAGAGTTAAGTGTCAGGCAGCAGCAATCTGCCCCGGCTTCGTCAATACTGATAATCAGGGTGATGAAGTGATGCATGGCAAACACCCGGGCTGTGAGCGAACTAGTGGGCGGGCAGGCAGAGGGGCGGATGATGACAGTCGACTAACCCTTCTTTAAAGGCACAGGGATCGGACGTTTGTGGCCACGTTCAAGGGTTAGTTGCCAGCTGAGGTTAGAAGTGAAAAAATAAAAAGAAAAGAGTTAGTTTGGTTTGTACTTGCTACAACATGAGCATTCTCTGGTGAATTAATAATTATATTACAGTTTAGGGCCCTTAATGCAGCGAATTGTCCAGATACAGCAAACAGTTAGTGCAGATTATTGTAATCCATTATGGAACATTCAATCTAAAGTGGGTGCACAGTACAAAGTGGTAAGAATCTTCTTGAAGAAAGACTGCTATATTTTTAGAGCTGAACAATTCTGTTAATGTGATTGATAAATGTCCAAATTACACCCATTCAAACCAGTGAGCATTTCTGCTCATATGTAAGTAGTAACTATTGGTTATTCGCACATTAAGGGTTAATAAATGCATAAATGAAGTAGATAAAGTGTATTATGGCAACTTATTACATACATTACTAAGTACTGTACAGTGTATAGAACCAGCAATACTTGTCAGACATGCTGTGGCAGACATGCGCCTCAGGTCAAGGTAACGAAACTTAACCCCTTATACCAGAAATGAAATGAAGAATTTGCGTGAAGGCCTACTTGCTGAGGTTTGCTGGAGGTGTGTAGCCTGTACCTCCCTCCCCACCCTAACCAGCTACACTCAGTAAGGAAATGTACCATTCTACAGAACTAACACACACACATTACGTGAAGACAACGAGTACTTTATTCCTAAAATGTTGACAACAATGATTGCACATGGTCTGGATGTTTAGGACAGAAGCAGGTGATTATAGAAATCATGTCAACACTTGCTTCTCATCAAATGCAAGACCGGCATTTGTAAAAACTTAATGAAACATGTTCATTCATTCCGAGCTTTGATTTGTCATTCGCTTATAGTATGAAAACAGTTGATAAACAACAAAATGTAACTACACTACAATAACATCTGCAGTTTATTGAAACCAGTTGGCTTCAGTCAAGACTAATGCCTTAAAATAAAAATTTAACATCAACAATGTAAAATATTGGCTTCTGATTATGAATAAACATAAAGATGCCCCCACCCATTCCAAGATGATATGCTATTGTCTATTGTGGCCATGGAACAAGATTATGTAGGTATGATCCTTCCCAGCACTTCCCCATACCACCACAAGGGGCAGTACTTTTTGTATATCTATACACTATATAGGCACAGACGGCAGGCCTCTGCTATCACATATACAAATATCAATAATATACATCAACATAAGCATAACAAGATATGTAAAAAGAAAATATAAATACTTTGCATACAAAAACAGTAAAAGGAAATAAAATTGACATAAAATATAAAATGCTTCCAAAAACCCATGTGGATTTAAGAGATCCATCATTTCGAACAATCAACATCCCTAATAGTACGGGGAGGGACAACAACTACTCATAAATGTTTCATTAACCTTCTACACCCAACAACAAAACAAATGCTTTGCTTATATATAAGCAACAAAAACATTTCAAAGGCAATACTTGGTAGTTTTGATTTTTGTCATGTAAAGCACCTCTGCCAAAATCATGTCATACACATATAAGTAGTTATAAACACATGGCAGCAATAGAGCTGCCTGGATTTCATAAAATGACCTGTAATGGCCAGTATCAAGAACAGTAGTCACATATACACACTCCAAACCAGCTAACTTGCTGCACTTCTTTGCTTAGGGGTTAAGGATCTTTTTCTTTCTGAACTTAAAACTGATATGTACAAAGAAGGAAATCTTAAACAACCCATGACCTGCCATTTCATCAAAATGGTGTCAGGCTACTACACAGGCAGCTGTTTCCATGTGATGTTGGGATCAAACCAACTTACGACCATCTTTCAAAGTGCTTCCAAGACGGAAACAAATGCACAGACAATATCTTCTATGTTCCACTTGACACGTTGGTGTAAGGGGACATATGTGTGTGTATGAGTGTCTAGTTCTTTTCATACTGGATTGTTGAATCATATCCAGGGGTGGAAATAACTTTAAAATTGCTAGTGTACTCAGATACAGTGGCCCATGTAAAATCACTTGCCCTGATAAGTTTCCACTATACCGGCTGTTTTCTTGTTGATTTTTTAGATAAACATAATTAATATTGTAAAGTCAACTGGACACCGGTACAGTGTGATATCCAAATTTGCTTGCCCGACAGAAAAAAAACACTGGACTCGGGCCGGGCAATGGGTTGTTTCCACCTCTAGTATCTAGTACACAAGTGCACATATCATGCTACTCAAACAATAGAGGATGATACGAATGATGGATCTCTTGTACTTAAATATATAGAACTAACCTTCCACTCATCATGGAAGTGTTGTCACCCTTGTGTAAGGGTGATCTCGCACTCCTGTTAAAGTTCTCCTCATTTTGGGCACAGCACCTATAATGATCGACAGCAAGATGCTGAGGCTTACGAGTCAGCAGTACAGTTCATGGACAAAACTGACTTGATGGGACAGAAACATGTCACTGATAACTTACTGAGGGTAATAAAAATCACAGAAAACAATTCTGGGTAGTCTAGTCAGTTTTGCCCACTCCCTGCAGAGACACCAAGAACATCATATGTGACATATCTCCTGGTCCTATGACCTTTAACCTATCTTTGGTCAAAGGTCAAATTACCCTATGGTCCATCTGACCTTGCTTAATCGAAAAACAAAAATCAAGGTCACATTCCCCAAGAGGGGAATAATTTAAAGTCATTCCAGACTTATGTAAATATAGTATTTCTGATCACAGCCTTCAGAATGTTGTCAGTCATTCTTACAAAAATAACTTTAGTTAGAAGTGTTAACATTAACTTTGTTAATGTGTTAAGTCAAAAGTCACCCTACATTAACTTGATGCCATCAATAGTGCTGAAAGGCTAGATATGGGAGTGTTAATATTGCCTTCAAGGCATCAATTAGTATACCAGGAGATTTGTCTGGGACTGAAAATATAAAGCAAGCATCAAAATTAGAATCAACTCTAAACATTATGCTGGATGTAGGAAATTAAATCACACAGAATCATCATTTCACATGATATACAATTAAGGTGTAAGACAAACTTGATAGTCACAACCGCCACCGCAGTCTACTACACAGAAGTACTTGATATATTATACAAAACTATCTCGCCTTCAGTTCAAACTGGTAGCACAGGTTCTAGTAGGTTAGCAGGGGTTATTTACAAATTTACAGTTAAATAACTTTACTTTGATCTTCCTAGAATGCTGGTTTAGATTTACCTGCGACAAAACAAAAATGAACATATTCATGAAGAATTTAAAGTGAAACAAAATTTTGAGGCTATTTGGTGCCATAATGAATAAACTAACATCTGAGGTATAAGACAATAATAGGGACACAATGGAAAGTTGGAGGAATGCATTCTAAAGAGAAAATGCACTACTATAGATGATCAACAGGTAGACCAAAAAAAAAAAATAGGTAGAAAAGTAAAAAGCACTGTACAAGTAAGTCATAATACAAGCACTAGGAATGTCGGAGATGAGGGGTTAACATAATACCAAATACTCTTAAAGCTAAATAAAAATATAGAGGGACATATGTTTTAATGTGTTATATATATATATATATATATATATAAAATGGTGTGTGGCTTGCCATTTGCGAGTTGATCAAGGTAGCCTGTTAAAATCTGCACATCCATATGCTTCCACATATGAAACTGAATGCTCCTAAAACTCAATACTCAATTGATGTTCTTTAGTGACCAATGCTTCCAAATTGATCTTCTTCGGAATGTAAACATGGATTAAGACAGAGTGAATTTTCCTGGCAAGCTGAGGAACATCAGTGTGTGCATGATTATGCAAGACATTTTGGAGAGAAACTGCATAAGGCCAGATGAGAGATGGTGGCCTATCTACCGCACGAACATACCAGCAAGGGCAGCATTCTGATCCAGGCCAGTCGGATACTCCAAGATAGTTGCTGGAGAAAAGGCAGCATACGGATATTCATAAGGATTGTAAACAAATCCACTCTCTGTTGGTGAAACCAGGGGAGGTGGGGCTCCATTGAGCAATCCAGCAGTACTGGTGGCCACAGCAGGCATACGTTGGTGCAGGATGATGGGAGCTCCAGTTGGTGTCTGTGCTCTTAAATGCTGCATCTGAAGAGCTCCAGGAGCAATAAGCCGGGGTGATTCTGTCAAAATAACAACCACTTACTGTTATTTGCTTGTAAAATGACATATAAATCATAAGTCACACGACTCCAAACAGGGGCCGTAGCACTATAACTGCCATAAGTTTATGTTAAAGTATGGGATTTACAATCACCTAAGCATTACTCTCACTGTTTGTAGAACAGGTCATTGGTGTGTAAAACTGAGAAAAGTCCAACTTCATCTCCAGCTACTCTGAATACTTGCACTACTGTCAACTGAAGAAATTGACAAGAGCGTTGCTATTTTAAAATGGCAGCAATAATAATCTTTAATTTTACTGTTAAAGTTGAAGAAATTAGGGGAATAGCTTTACACCTCTTAGAGAAGATTTGCATTTCATACCATGGTGAACTCAAACAATTGTTTTGGGGGTAATTGCCTAAGCTTCAGCAATCATCAGAACTATATATCCTGAAAGATTTTCCTATCGTCTTAAACACATTACCAAACCTTTAACTTATAAAAAGCCCAGCCTATTTGGCAAGAACGTAGCCAAAAGCCATAAATACATGCAGACACACAAATGAAGTAAATTATATCCCTGGTCTGCCTAGAGAAATAGTGACAAAGTGATCAACATTTACACACATCAGATGTTAGCATTCATGTGCCAAAGCTATTGTGTCCAACGGTTTCAAGAGCAAAGTGCATGACTGCGGCCTTGTGACTGGGAACGGCATGTGATGGCTAGAATAGTAACAACTCAAGCTAAAGCAAGTCAATAGCTGCCTGCTCTTGACCAGGGTTATCTGAAGCAGACCAACTAACATTTAAGGCATGTTCTGTCTGTTCCATAACAACATTTACAAATCATTTCTCATAAATACTCAAACATACAATCAAAGCCTTCCAAATGACATGACAGCCTGGCATGAAATCATGATAACATTTCAGAGACTACGCAAATCTCTTCACAACAAACCAGGATAGCAGAAAATGTGTCCATGACTATATATTAACTGAACTCATTTGTCCGAAGATCCAAACTTGGATTGTTGTCTAGTGCTAACCATTTCTATTGCTGTTGGAGAGTTATGGGTATGTCTGAAGTTAAATGCCTGAATCATTTTGAACACTTGACAGCACACCACCATCACTGGAACATGTTACCCTCCCAAGTTTATAGAAATCACAAGTATAACTATACAAACTCCACTTTTGTTGAGGAGGAAGAGAGTTTAGGAAGATTCTTTCATCTGATTTTATTGTAATTTGAAAACTGACTATAAAAATGAAATGTCTTCAAACATGCTAAAGATATTGAAATTCACATGGGTAGCTTAATCATAATGCCAAACCAATTGTATTTATTGCACTACAGTGTCTTGGCTTGGAGATGGGGAAAAGAAACGGGAAGAGCCCCGTGGCTTAATGTTGTTCAATTTGTATTTTCGTTTCTATAGTACACACTTCAGCCAGCCAGCCAGCCACTCACTGCCAGCCAGCCCGTCAGCCACGCACACAGTACTTTAAGGTAACAAAGAAGAAACTTGGTCAATTAAAATTTCACAGATCATAGTGTGTAATTGTCGGATAAATTAAGCCAAAAATATTGACCATTGCAAACGCATTTTCTCCTCAATCTACATAAGTCAGTTAAAAGACTACCCAATATCATACTAAACTGAAAAGAATAGTTAATGGAACAATTGGAAGAAATAGTACCTGAAACAATTATTTTCCAACGAAACTACATTACAATTACTTATCCCTTTTCTTGCTAATTTTACTATGCATATTACAAAACAGAAATTAGTTGAAAACAAAACTAATACTATGTTTATATGTTAACACCTTTCCAAACAGCTGTACTGTTTGGTGAAACATGTACAGTGGACACAATGTATACAGAAGATCAGTGTTTTCAGGTAATTTGTCAGAAAAATCGGTTTGGCAGATCGATATTAGATTAGAAAATATTGGTTTGACCTAATTGCAGTTTTATCTGGACATGAAATCCTTAATTTATTTTCTGATAAAGCAAGTCTTATTTCCATGTGTCGTAACACCAAAAAGACACCCAAATGAAACAATTTGCTTTTAACCCTGCTTTGAGGTATGAGTTGGAATGCAAGTAGAAATTTCACAGGAGGGCAACAATTTGATATCTTAATATACACAGTATGTAGTGGTGGGCGACAATACTGGTTAACCGGTATATTGCAATTCAAAAATCACAATAAGATATATTGTGGTACACTTTTCACGAACTGGTTTACCCAATATGATCGGCAATGTTTATTGGTCATATAATTGCATTTGCATGACTTTTAAACCATATAAATAAAAAATATAGATTGGTACCGGCACCTCTTGTTGGGATAAAGAAACCAAAATGGTGGACGCAGCTGCAGACGCTTTTTCTCAAGTTCCAAAATTTAGAGTGAAGTCTTCAATTTGGAAATATTTTCAATTGATCTCTTGTACAATCACATGTGAGTCCTGACAGTGGCCACTGACATTGTTTCAAAAGAAAGGAACCAGAATTTCATTACCTTAAACCATGTGGTACACTTTCACAATATATTGCAATACGCCAACACATATCACAATATATCGCAATACGAACATTTTGGCAATACCCAACCCTAATAGTATGTAGGTTCCTCACAAGCTACAGTACCCTTGGATTCTTAAAAGAGTGTTTGTTTGGATGGATGGATGGACCGCACTAAATCCTAATAAATCCCCTGCCTGTTTCATGGAGGGGACTGATACATAGCCAACATTAACATGCATTCGCACATACCAAAGCACACATCAAAACATTCATAAACGAACATGTAAAGAGCAGAATAAACTTCCATTAGTTGCAGCCTTGCTGGGACAAAAGGTTCGTATCACCTAGTCTTAGAGAAGAATTGGAAAGTTCACAATGGATGAAAACATAAAAGCTCATCCAGGTATGTACATGTATCTGTGCACGACTTATTTCCTGTTCACATACATGCAGAAACCAGAGCCAAAAGGCTGAGTAGCTCACCAGAATTGTCATGGAATTTATCCCTTGTGCACATTAACAGTACATGTATCAGCTTATGCAGCATTTTGATGCTGTATCATATACAGAACATTGATAACAAACTAGTCATCATAAAGCAATGATGCAGAAATGTAATAAACTTATGGAAAGGGCAGCATCAGGTAAAAAGTTGATCTTATTGAGCTATTCCAAAAGCACTACCAGTATACTTAGTGAAAATGTAAATGTCTGAATGTGCTCCTAATAAATATGAAGATTTCTTCTGCAGTTTTCAAAAGTTTAATTTAATTATAAGTGCAGAGAGATTCCCTGAACCACCTTATTAAAATATTTTCATTATGCAAAATTGTTTCTATAAATTATAAGAGAAGAAAGAGGTCCGCAAGAAGTATTGTTTGGTATCATTTTGAATTTCAAAGACGTAATGGCAAAACAAAGAATGGTTCGTCCATATATGATGAGACAACAACTATCTTACAGTGGTTAAACACATTTTGCAAGAGCACCTGGAAAGACATCAACCACTGTAACAGTGGCAATATCTTAACATAGATTTGATGAAGTAATGCTTGACAGAGGGCCAGTGGTATTCAATGTTTGACAAATATGACAATACACAACAAATTGTTGTCACATTTTTGTAATGATATAAATGCAGAATAAAAAATCTACTACATGACATTTGCTATGACATGCACCTGTCACTCTTGTCAGCTGAATCAAACCTTATGCTTGAAATATGCTTGATAAATCAGAAGTTATAGAGATGTCTAAATCTATTTGAGCTAGATAAATATGATAAACAGAAAATGAATAATGTATCACCTTGTTTTGTTTACCAGTGTGAATGAGAGTTAGGAAAACATGACACTTTTAAAATGGTCATCTTATTCATGTTAACAATTGCTTCAGAATTCTGTGTAGACATTTTAGATCTATCCATCATCAACAAATTTCTGCTACCGCACTTAAGCATTGTGGTTTAAGCTGGATGGACAGACAGAAAACTCAACCACATAAGATCACTCAAACTTTCGGTCTGACCGAGCTAAAAGCAGGGTAATATGCCAATCATACAATTCCTTAATGGTAACTATGACAACCAAGTCTTATATTAGTCTTAGATTCTGTGAGTATGGTATGAAACTAATGAAGTTCACATGCATATTCTCAGACCTTGTACAGGGACAGTCCTGCAGTTGCAGTTTAGGTGTCAAAAAATAAAAAGTTAATATATATGGTGGACAGTAAGCCACTGCCACTGTTACAGGGAATTTCATGTCAAGAGACTTTAATCCTGGCCAAGCACCTTGGAGAAATGTTCACAATACACTAAACCCATCAAAGCCATATGTACATAATGCAAAGTAGTGTAATGGCACTGCTGGACAGGGTTTCACAAGAAGGGTTCCTGTGTATTTGATGTGTGTGTCTGCTTGTACCAGTCCATTCTTAGTATCTGTCTTGTAGTTACCACTGAAACCCTAAGCTGTATCTTTACATGGAACTGCAACTGTGATGTGTGTGTGGTGTGAGACTGGGCGTGTTGTGTTTTGAGTGTGTTTGAGAGATTTTGTGAAGTAGGTGTTGTGTAAGTGGGGTGGTCCACAGTTAGTGTCTTACTGCTGCTGCATAGTACAGAGGGAGGTAGCTAATTCGCTTGCCTGAATGTCCTGCTGTGCTTCTTGTGAGATTCAAATCTTGTCCCCGCCAGGGATTTGCCACACTGAAATCTTAAAGTATATGAGAAAGTTAGCAGGGATAAAGTTGCTTGACTATGTTTGCAAGGTGTGGGAACTGTCTTGAGGATACTCACTGCTGTCCAAACTGCAACATTAACAATTCATACCCATTCTACTTGTAGATTACCAAATACATGCATATCCTGTTTAACCATATGTCAAACAAATTGAATATGTTGAAGTTAATTTGTGTTAGCAATATTTATATCAATATTGACAAAAAGAACACTTTTGCTCTTGATTCTTCAATGAACATGATTTTCTTCCCATTACCATGACTGGAAAATGCGTGAAAATACCTCTGCAGCATCATGCAATTCTTTTCAAAACAAAGGACCATGCAAAAAACGTAATTGCCAAACCAACTAAACATGACATAATATCTGAAAAGGAAAAAAGCAAAGAGATTTAGAGACAGGAAAATATATAGGTTGAACAGTACGTGAAGCACAACCTGGTGAATGTACAAGTGTGTATATCTAGTGAAGAGGCAACACAGTAGCCTATACAAAATCCATCACTACATCCTAAACCACTCTGCCATGTCACAATAGGGTATTGTCTAAACTAGAATCATTCACATTAAGGATTAAGCATTTGACAACCAATTTTGTATACCTGCTTCTTTCATTAAACATTTAAAGAATGCAATTCAGGTTTTTCACTTAATAATACTGTCTACATTTTTTTTCTTAGTATATGATTAATAGACATTATGATAAAAGACATATATTTTGAAATCAGAACAATCTCACATTACTTAAATTGAGGACAAGCTGTACAGCATGGGGGTCTAAAAAGGTTGAACATGGTGAAGGTGTTTGGCAAAGCTACTGTGTCAGGAACTGCTTGCTATGTGGTCGTATCTCAAACTGGATGTCAGCAACAAGGTGAAGAACATGCACAAAGCTGGCTACCATGCTGCAAAGTAACTGCGCATCAGCACAGTCCAGTGGAAGCAAGAAAACCAAGAGGAAACTGCAACCAACAATCAGCAAATTCATCAACTAAAGCAGCTGGAAAATAACACTGAAAATACTAAATGAAACAGGTCCAAATCAAGACATGCCTGGAGTCTAAAAGAACCAAACTAGCTTGGACAGAAAAGCATATCTGCACCACACACACAAGACGACTGCAGTGATCCCAGCAATGGCTAGGTGGACAGCAGTGGCACTTACGACTGGAAGTAGGTGGAGGAGCGGCCGTGGTGGGCGGCTTTGTAGTGTCACGATAAGTGCCATTTATGATGGCCAATTCCATCAACTGACGTTTCTTCAAGTCATCCTCCCCATCAGGCTGCAAACAAATGGCAAAAAAGGTCAGCACAAGCATATTAGATAAAGCAAATCTTTCAATAACTTACGAGCAGTTTGCATTTGTTGTAAGATTGCCTTAGTGGAGTCTCTGTATGTTCCATTTAAGATGGCCAGCTCCATCAACTGCTTCTTCTTGAGTTCATCCTCCCCCTCCGGCTGAAAGAGACACACAAGTTACTCTAGGCACTCCTAATACAAAGGTTAGACATTACTTTCTGCAGCTTCCAGTAAACTGGTATCCTGGGAAGTCGTCCTTTACCTAAACAAGGCAGTAGTTTTGCAACATGCAAATGGCATGAGGTATGTCAGGATGTACAAAACAGTGGTAACAGCTTTAACAGTAGGGTTTAATGTTATCATAAAGTAAATGAACATGATTTAATGTCAGATATTTGCTTCTTACCACAGTTGATGCATTTCCCCCCCCGTAATTTAGAATATATGCATGGTTTGTCATGTAAGTTCATGACACGCAATAGCATCAGTTGATAAAGCTGGGACTCACATCACAGACACACCTTTTCATACACAATGAAATGGCTACGACAACATCACTTGTCAACACACATTTTGAGAATGACAAGGAGTGAAATAATTAATTCAGATTGCATTGGGAATCCACTTCCAAGCAACATCCCAGCTTCTTGACACCAGCAAGTGAACTGTAGCTGTAGTCTGTTCCATTCAAACAAACTGGTCAATGTTTCATCCGTCTAGACACTGGTCAACCACATCTCAAAGTTTACACATCATATTGGCAATACTGATTCAATTAGCCGCAGTGAAGGTACGGCAATTGAAGAAAGGCACAGTTTGAGTCGTTGTCCAGCTAACAAACTTAGCTGGTCAGTGGCCAATATGCCTGGGGCAGAGTCAAGCAGCTATCAAAAGGAAATTAGAATTACTGCCTTGAGCCTCTGGTCAGCTTCGGAAGTTTGGGTTTACAAGACCTGTTATGCAATTAGCTTCAATGGCTTTCTCCAAGCAGCTGCACACATGGTACACTGGGCATCTGCATCATCATGAATGACTTGTTACAGCTTCTCTGTTCTCTTACTGATTCCAATATAAGCCAGGATGGTAGAATAAGGCATCTCATTGAGTCAAACTGACTCAACCATATGAACCTATATGGTACAATATGAGTTAAACACTACCTATTGCCAAAACCATACATGTAACTTTTGCCATTTCCCTCATAGTAGAGCAGTAGCTGTGATTATTTGCTGGTGACAAAGATTTACTGCACTAGAATTTCCTGTCACAATATATTAGAATTTTTTTAGAAAGAAGTATTTGTCAATCTGTTGTTTCATGTAACAATACAATTATTTCACTTGGCATCATAAGGAAATGAATGAATTGTGCACAAGTATAATGAGGTAGTTATTCAGTGATTCCTAAATTTCAGTTGGTAAGCTGCTCAAACAATGCCATATCTGTGAACATCAGTTTAGTTTGCATTAAAGTAAATCCTGACACTGGTATCAGAGAGAGAGAGAGAGAAGCCCAGTGTTCAGATTCTTGTTGAATGATATGGATAGAAACTATAGCATTAGGTGCCAACAATGCTTCATGTCAGCTAAACAAGTTACAAATGTTACAAGGATATACTTTATTACAATATTCTAACTTATTCATTTAGATGTTAAAGACTTTTCTAAAGATTTTCTGAATCAGAGTCTTTACAATGCTGTACAATGTCAAACATTCTGATTTTTTTGTAAATATTATTTCTATTACCCTGACCTGCTTTAATGTTACTTCATGATTATATTGAAGAATACTTACTGCAGGTACCAGCAGTTTCTTAACTTCATCGACTGCCTTTTTCATCTTTATTTCTGCTCTCATCCTTGTGTCTTCTACTGTGATCAGCACATGTAATTCTTCATTCAAGTGTTCCCAGTTGGCCTTTCCACGGTTGGCTTCCTCCTACAACACAACCGACTTATTGCTACTAAAGCTGCTGACAGAACCACAGGTGCACAGGCTAAATATGTCCAGACCATGCAAGTGTGTCCATGTTTCTGTACAACCTTTGTTTTTAACATTGTGGCAAATGGTGAGGAAACAGTTCTGATACACAGTAACTAAGGAGAATCAAAACAGAAGAAACAGTCATTTGAACTGTGTCGGAAAAGTGAACTTATCAGATCTGACTCAATAATAGCAACTGTTAAAAAGGTAGTTCTAAATAAATATGACAACCATGTAATGTTCCATTGATTATTGCCTCCATCTTTCCAGATGCCTAAAATAAACTGTGCATACGATATTATTTCGATCAATGAAACATTCCTGTTCTTCCAGAGAATATTCTGAAACTTGAATGTATGACTTTTGTAACAAATGTATTAACACTGATAACTGTATGTAAGGACCTGGGAACAATGAGAGTGTTTCTATCCATCACCTTTTTCTTGTCCCTCATTGATCCCTTGCCTCGCACCATGATCTTACAGCCTGTGTACTGTTCTAACTCTTTTGCTGTCATTCCGCGTGGACCCAATATACGACCAACAAAATTGAACTGAAAAACAAATATTGCACATTTCATATAAACCAACAACAGTCAAGGATTTGTCTTGGCTTTTCAATTAATTATCACTGGCAGCAAAATTAAGCAAACAAAAAGCACCCTTTTCTCAAAATAAGGATTTTCAAGTGGAATGGCATTCACTGCAATTAATAAAAAACCCAAAGGATATGGAAGTCTTTACTCTTTATACACTTGTCATCAGAGAAAGTCACATAACTAAAACATGAACCAAACCTACATTGAGGAATGTTTTTTTCCAATTTGGGAATAATCACACACATTTGATGTGGACCTGGTCAAATCCACTGGCTTCTGTGAACGTCTTAACAAACCCTTGCTGGTACTCATCACATGTATAAAATATCATCTTAGATTGGCCTTGACCTTTAAACCCCCAATCTTTAATTTAAAAAAATAAATTATTTATTATATAAATTCAGGGAACCAATATGAATTCTCACCACTACCACCATTCCGGAAGTATCCTAATTTTGTTTGGATATGCAAGACATTATTTGATAACAAGAAAATATGAAGTCTCTACACTATACTGACAATATCTGAAAGAAATTGTTCACATGTTATTTCAAGAGTACATAACATGATTTAGCTCATCGATTTGAGTGAGTGAGTGAGTTTAGTTTTACGCCGCACTCAGCAATATTCATGCTATATGGTGGCAGTCTGTAAATAATCGAAGTCTGGACCAGACAATCCAGTGATCAACAGCATCAATCTGCGCAATTGGGAACCGATGACATGTGGCAACCAAGTCCGTGAGCCTGACCACCCGATCCCGTTAGTCGCCTCTTACAACAAGCATGGGTTACTGAAGATCAATATTCTAACCTGGACCTTCACGGGTCCTTATCAATTTGATTTGATCATGCTGTGTTTCCCCTTGAAATCAGATTTTTCAGACATCTGCTATATAATTTAACTTCTGATGCTTTATACCTAACAGAAGATATGCAAAACGAATAAAAATTAACAATTCAGACCCAGCATTCATGTATACAGGGCTCCAGACAATTATTTGACTAAGGAATATTTCACTCCTCAAAATTAAAATTGAGGAGTAAAATACCAAATGGAAATAAAAAGAGGAGTATTTCACAGGTTGCATGGTGTTATTACTTTTCCTGGCTAATTGATACAGTTTTCCTGTAAAAAAATCTTGACGAAGTTTCTTTTTGTTAGTTATTCTTACTGCAGACAGGAAATATATGACAATGCACGTTGTCATTAAATGTTTTCCTATGCTGGTTTAAGGCCATCACGTAATATACAGCAGCCCTAACATGCTAAAGCTGTATTATTACTGATACTGGACCGGAAACGTTAGAGTAACACTGGTTAAGGGCTAGCTTATAAACAAATTGTGAACCAAACGTAGATCGGAAATATTAACGGAGATGGCATGGAAAAACTCGACAATCTTCGCTTCAATACAGACAACCAACACTAATTACTAGAGATCTTAAGATCGGATGTGTAGGACTGAAGCAATATTTAGACAGGTTTGGTTCACGCATGTAAACAAAATGTGACTCGTATTCTGAGCAAGTTATGCGTCGTATCTTTCACTTATTGATTTGACTTTTTATGTGTTTTTCTGAATTATCCATGGGTAATTTACTCTTCTTACCTGGATCCCTGTGTATACCAATTTTCCTCAAGTAAATACAACAAACAGTAGTGTTCCCATTAACAGAAGTTGTCAAAGGTTGATCGAACGGTTGAAACAGAATAATCAGATGCAAATTTCATAACTGAACCCAAGAAATGTTGCTTCTTCTCTCCACTCTGAAATGGCATTGTTTTGAAAAGCCTGATCACCCTATCCATTGAGTTGCCCTTCATCACCAATAGAGCTACTCTAACCTGGAATCACCGCAGGGCAAGTGCTGAAGTTCATATTTGTATTTATTTGTAAATAAAGTTGGTTTTTTTTTGTTTTTTAATTGAAAAAGATAAATGCCACTAACTTATCAAGACGTTGGATGACTGAACAAGCCATCCACTCACAATAAGTAGCTAAGTTAGCTGGTACACCCATACTTTTAACAAACTGTCCAGAACGTATGATCAAAAGGTGTTATCAAGAGTGAGTGAGTTTAGTTTCATGCCACACTCAACACTATTCCAGCTAGCGGCCTGTAAATAATCAAGTCTGGGCCAGACAATCCAGTGATCAACAGCAAGAGCATCAATCCACACAATTGGGATGAGATGACATGCCAATCAGGTCAGCGAGCCTGACCATACCCATCCCGCTAGTCGCCCCTTATGTCAAACATGGGCTACTGAAGATCAATTCTAACCCAGATCTTTACCAGTATGTTATTAAGAGGCTTCACAGGCATTTAACAAGTAGATAAGGAAAGACAATTCTAAAATGGAAATTCATTGTGGTTGCGACCTCAAAGTTACACTAAAACACAAGTTGCAGCTTTATGCTATAAAATTAGTGCTATACATATGGCTAAAACCCCAAACCACACACTTCAATTATAATACGCTGAAAGGGTACAAAAGTGCTCACAAAGTTACATATCTTTAAAACCCAACAAAGTTCAACTACCAGATATATTATCGGTATGTGTGCATCAATGAGTCTTGCAAACTTGGTACGTGGCATATATAAACATGAATACTCACATCTGGATGATCCTTTGCTGGTACAAATAGTTTCTCTGTGAGTGTGACAACAGGACCAACTGGTTCTGGGAGATCCAATGGATCACGGTTTCCTTTATGATGGAAGAGGGCTACTCTAACTCTGTTGATTTCTGTAACAATGGAATCTAACCCTTGTAAACAGCACCCACACTCTACAAACGAGCATTTCCCACAATTTCCCCAATCTTGTATTAGGCCCCAGTGTACCACAAGTAACATTAAGTTACTTGGTTTAAGGTATGTTATATTCGGGGTTAGCTTAGTAAAGTACAGATTCTAGTACTTTTGTTGGGTTGGGACTCAACCCAACAATTTCTGGTGTCCCTCACCGTGATATTGCAGGAATATTGCAAAAAAATGGCGTAAAACCAAACTCACTCACTCAACCCAACAAAAGTACTAGAATCTGTCCTTTACTAAGAAAGTGTAATCCCAAATTGAAATATAACATGTTACATTTGACCACTTTCTAAATGGCACTGTGTAATCATTGGTTTAAGGGTCTGCTAAATCCTGTCAGTGCCTGCCCATCATGACTTGTGGCATGATGGAAAAACTGTCATGTGGTTCTGCAGCTCACCTAATCATTGTGGAATTTTATATCAGGTCAGAAAGATCAAACAATGCAAAGATGTAGCAAAAAGAAGAAAAAAACTCAAAATTTTCTGTGCAACACATTCCTGCATTACATATTTACACATGCATTTATTGGCAAACTGAAAGGCCAAAACTGAATGTTCATCAATACAGCCATGGCATTATGGACAGACAAAACATGATGGTCAAAGGTTGAGGATGTGCCAAACATCACACGACAAAGCAAAATATAACCTTTGTCCTGGGCATAACACATACAATGCTAATTAATTTAGTAATGATCATATACACACTGAATTTGAGCTCCAAAAAACAAAATAGTTTGGGAAAGGGGTGAAAATGCAGTAAAACTAAAAACAGACAAAAGACCTTAATAGATTAAAATACTACAATACATTCCCAAGGAACTTTGTATACTGCATACTACAAAAGTGAACATGTGGTTCAATAAGGTTACCATGACAACAGTCTATATATAACAAAAGTAATGCTATGTAAGAATGTTTAAGTTTGGGCTTGTTAATGTGCACATATACCACACTCTCTGCATTATAACTACCGGGGTAACAGGTCCTGGCAGTTTGCTGCTAAGATATTTGAATACACAGACCACATTTACATGTACTATCATTTTTATTTCTCAACAGTAGGACAAGGGATCCGTCTACTTTCATTTGTAATTTTAAGATCACATCAACAGATGTCGTACACGGGTCATGTAATTTAAGGAACTGCATAATCTCCTATAATGGCCAAGGCCTGCCGAGCCCCATCATTACAAAATGAGTGTTGCTTATTCCCCTGATTTGAACAGTTAACTATCTGTGATTCTCCCATGATGTGGGCAGAGCCTTTGATAGTGATTTATGAGAGTGGTTCACATTCGTTTCAAAGTAGACCCGCAATGGAAGACAAAGTATAATTTGAGAATTTGATCAACAAGACATTATCTGTTTTCACAAGAAGTGAAACTGAACAAATTATAAATGATGTTATCTCGCTCAACAAAAGTTAATGATAAGAGAAAAGTGAGAGTGAAGACTCTAACACCAGTTCCAAAAGAAGAATGTTAACACACATCATTAGGAAGCATCCTTCGCTAAAAACAATTTGGACAAGCCCCTAAGGTGTGAGTATCAACTAACTACCAACGGATATTCTCATGAAGTATTTAGTAGTTATACTTTTACATGGCAAATATGGGGTATTTTCAAAGTTGGAGTAGCATTGAGCATTTGGAAATTTCATAACATTTTAAAAACAAACACACTGTCCTTCAAGTAACGATATTTGATCAAAGTCTTTACTCATCTTCCAGATGTATGTCAGGGTAGAGACTGCGATCTGGTAGAATCTCCGATCCTACTAGTAGAGATTGCAATCGTAGTCTCTACTGGTAGAGACTACGATTATATGGAATAACCTATGCAAGCAAGTGCAAGCTTATGCAAGCAAGTATAATAAGTGGGGATAATGTTTTCCTATTATTTGCCAGTTATCATTGAACTTATTTATTGTTATCTTGTTAACTTTATTTGTTAAGTCTGTTTTGGAGTAAGGTATTTAGTTTTTGTTTTTTGAGTGGAGTCCAAATTTGGCAGCTTGGTCTCATGATGTAAATACAGTGTTACAAACCATATTTATTTTTTATTTTGATATTGTTTACAGTGAGGTGTTAAATGTTTGTTATCAAAGTCTCAGTTAAAAGTAGGAAGTTCATTCAGATGTATTTCAAAACTTATGATCAGTAATTGTTATAAAAACACTGCTCGGAGTTTCTACCAGTTGAAGACGATTGCAGCCTCTACTAGTAGGATCGGAGTTTCTACCAGTTGAATTGGAAAATGTATGATTCAACCAGTAGAGACTACGATTACAAACTCTACTAGTAGGATCAGAGATTCTACCAGTAGAGACTGCGATCGGAGTCTCTACATCTCAATTGGGTTTCCTAATTTTCCATCGAGTAACCTAATAAATTGTACAGACCTCATTCAAACTCAATTGGGTATTTTGCCATTTTCCATTAATTGTAAAAATATAATAAAGTTTATATATTGGTTTACGTGTTTGTCATTTATACATGTATTTGATCTGTAATGAGAAACGATAATTCACCGATACACAAGCTAAACTTTGACATGTTTGTGTGTACACATGTAAGATCAAATCTAATTAGTATTTACAAAACTTCAAGCGTACTTGTACGCAATAGGTTTAAAAGGAATTGAGTTTTCACATAGATATTTGCGTAATTTACGCAGATACTCAGCCTATCCGTACATCTGTATGTGCGTACATGATACGCTTGAAATGTTATATTATGTCATACTTCATTGATATTTAGGCTTACATTACGCCTCTACGCCCCTTATCTGTAGCCCTGAGATTGAAACATACAAGATGGTTACCATTGCTGAGATCAAGGTAGGTGCAAAATTTCAGCTTTAGTGTTGACTATGCACTGTAAGATGTAAGGTTCTTATGGAAGCTCATGAATTTCAGTTCAGGTGAGCTAAAATATCATTGGGCTCAATGACTGATTCAAGACAACCTTTTCATGATCAATAGTTGACAAAGATTGCATAGTGAATGACGTGAGACAACAAGGACGGACCATGTATGAAGATGAAATGATTAGCTATGAGCTCCGTCATGAGAACCTAGCAGTCAGCTAGCTATGCTAACTCCAATATGCCCATGTACAGAGCTCCAGATAAGATTTAGCTCCTGTGGGTACTGTACCCACTGTATTTTTTGGAGTGGGTATTATGAATGTTGAGTGGGTATTTCATTTTCTGTTACCCACTGCTTTCAAATATGTGCGTATTTCAGTCATTTTACTCACCTAAGTATTAGGGGTGTCACGATACGTGAATGTATCGATGCATTGATACATTTTTACTGACGATACAATACGCGATACATGCTTGCGTGTATCGATTCCTATTTTAAAACTTTATCGATTCAAATTTTAATGCTATATCCATCTCCTTCAAAGTCTTGATAGTAATATTATACGAGACCGCTCCGATAAATAGATGTAGCTAGCTTTACTTAAAAAATAGGTTGGAAACTAACAGCTTTTATGATTGGCTAGACTATTTTGATGGACCAATCAGCGAGCGCATACGTTGCCGGTAAGGTAATGCTATGAAAAGGTGCGAAAATTATGTATCGCGATACGTATCGTATCGTGACCTTAAAATCGTGATACGTATCGTATCGTGAGATTGGTGTATCGTGACACCCCTACTAAGTATTATGTCTTTGAGTAAGTTTACTAAGCAGGTATGTTCTGCCTTATGTCATACCTAATCAAAACCAACTTAAATATAATAGAAATGATTTCATAAATAATCACTAGTCCTATACTAACAGTACAACTTGATAGCAATCGATGTCTTTCATTACACAAGCGATTTTAATAAATATATTCCATATGCATTTGTTTTAAACTTTTTGCGTATCTAACATTTTAAAGGCGTAATTGGTATGCAACAATTATTTTTCAATACATAATTTGAAATTTTCTATGCATATTTTACCTGGATACGCAGCTTATCTGGGCCTCTGCATGTAGGACACAAATGACAACATTCCGCGGACATTTCAACAAAAACTAATGACAGTAATGGCACTGAAAATAGTGGAAACAAAGCCACACAAAACTGGAACACCAGCACAAAAACTTCATCATTTAATAACTTCAGTGGCTTGGCCATGCTGAGCCATCAGTTGTGTCTCCAGCTGTGGTAGATGCTGACAGTAAGTACACTAACTGGATTCAGCTTTACTGGTTTTCTGGGGCAGTAATCATAAGAAAGGGAAAAAACTTACCCGTTAACATGGTTACTACTTGATGAATGCTCGGAGTTGAAGCAAGATATGCAGTTGGGAGGCATCACTCGTCCATATTTAGGAGTATGTGTGCTTAGGTGTACTTTTCTTCTCATCAAAACTCTTAACATGTCAGTTCAGACCTTGTCCAAAGGTAATTTCCAGTATGAAAATATCTTTCAACTTATATAATAAGAATGTTATGAATATCTTAACGTCTGAAAAAAAGTGGTCAGTATCATAATTATTGAGTTATCCTGATTACAAGAAACCATGTTTATAACACATGTGCTTGTAATGAACTGATGGATATGGATATAACATGTTTTTGGTCCCTAACATTGGCTATATATGTGATCATATTGAATTGATCAATATAATGAACATGCTTATGAAATAATGGATATGGCATACGGTACTCATTTTGAAGTCTCCTGTGAACTCTGTCAACAACATTGTTTATGTTCATCACTGTCACCAGTCAGCCTATCAAACCATGCACAGTTGTTCAAATGAGCAATAAACAATTTGAAGACAAGGGATTAACTGGATTACGAACTAACATTAGTTAAATTAACAATAGTAAGATAGTGTTTTGGCCATAACCTTTGAAGTGGATATATTCGTCTATAAGATCCTCGTTGATGAAGAACCTGATGGAGACGCAGTGCTC